ACGCTCCAGTCATTGGGCGATTCTTTCCAGATTCGAGAGCATGGATATCAGTTGTCCCACCAACGTCCACTTAGAAGACACCTCCATACTTCTTCTGTGATAGCTCAAATCCGAGCATTTAAGAATTACAAGTAACAGAATTCTGCTAGTGTTTGCAATCACAGCGGTGACTAATCTTACGATTGACGACGATGTCATCAGGCATTTCTGTCTCTCGTTGACCAGAGCAACCGGTACCTAATTGAGACACTGCAACGTGGTGTCGGTAGTGGCGGGTGCGAAATACAAGGTGTACTTGAGTCAAACTAGTAAGGCTTCTTTCATAGAAACACACACATGAGGCTCACTTGCCCGTCACACACACTTTATTCAATGGCTTGAGTAAAAAACGCACACTCGCACAAACATGGAAAACACCAAATCAGCCCGTAGCCGCAGCAGCCCGTGGCCGGCTGTGAGCCGATGTCACGCCTCACAACTCAGTGTGCATTTCCATGAGCTTGAGTGGCTCGTGGTGGCAGGCTGCGGGCGTCTCCAATTTCATCACGTACGTGCATCGCGAAGGCTCCTCGGCAGACACCAGCTTGTTCTCGGGACCGCAGGCAACCTTCACCTGAACAGGCGAAAAAACGTATGTCAGAATTCAGTGGGTCTTTGAATACGTTCGCAAGCATAGACCACAGCCAAAACAACAACAAGAAAGTAACCTTGACTGAACGGTTGGGTCCATTCCAGCAGTATTCCCCGGCATCATACAGCATCTCGCTGTAGGGCAACTTCGCCAACTTCTCCTCTCTAGTCCAGTTGACAGAGTCTTCCGGGTGACCGACCCATTCCTTCCAGGTGCCCAGTAGGGTTCCACCCGAGCTGGCGTGTGGGACCCGTTGGCGGACATCTTTGAAGGCACACAGCGAGTAGACGTACTCGTTGTCGCGGAATTCCAAGCAACCAGTCTCGGGTTCGGTTAGCATCATGAAGCCATTGTCGGGACCATAGTCGATTGGCTTTGAGACGACTGGCACTTGGTAATGCTCTTCCGTCTCATGCGACCTAGAGCAGGACCAATTGAGGAGATACTGTGAGAGGGACAGCACGGAATCAAGTCACGTCGTGCTGAAGTGGTCGTGATAAAGAGCACGACCGCATCTACGGATCGCAGACAGAACGATCCACAGGTCTGTCGGACTGGAGGACAAAAGCGCGTGGTTTCACTTTATGTACATCCATTGTAGCACAGGTAGCCTTTTGAAAATAGCCTTGGTACTACGGCGACAGTTTTGAGAGTAAAAAGCTGTCCATCGAGACGGGCAACAACGTGGCACCCCACAACTCCGCTCGAAAGCCTCTCTTGCTGCGCTTGTCACGATCTCGCGTCATTACGCCGGATAAGTAGTGACAGTTTCCAAATTAGATACTATCGATCACACATAACCGATATCGATATAGACAATAAAGTAACAAACGGACTTACTCTGCAGGTGGTATATCCTCTAAAACAGACAAAAAAGAAACAAATTAGTTGGCGAGTAATGGTTGAGCCTTCCGATTGCAACAACGTGCTCAACCTCTATCACTTGGCTTCATATAGCCGTGGCTAATGTATAAAAAACAACGGTGACGTCACGTACAACAATTGAGGATATAGAATTTGTACATCGTATTGATGGATTTAGACAAACTCGACGAATGCGAGTCTTCGAAAATCAACGCGGAATGCCAAGACGTCGATTTCATTCCGCGTGCGACACGGTGGCACTTATTCCGAGTTTATAAGTTAAGGCAGTAGTCACCAAAACCAGATGATGCTGACGTGTCGTTCTGTAAAACTTTAACAGCACGCCCAGGGCACTGGCTCAAAGGCTGACAGTATTGGTGAGCATAAGATTACAATTGAAAACCTATGGGCTCAGCAAAGTAATTAGGCGTCGCAGAATGCTGCAAAACAGCTAATAGGAAAAACTGAGTTTCTGGGCCGTGGTGGGCTTCCAGACTGTCTCAAAAGTAAGCAAAGACGATTAATGTGGAATGAAAGGTGACCACTGCAACATCGCACCAATCGCATCTCGCTTCGCCAGCGACTTACTGTCTAATTCACTATCGGATTCTTCGGCGTCGTGGTCATCAGGTGTAAGTTCCTCTTCTGAGCCTTCGTTAGAAGCATCCCAAGCATTTTCAGAGCCTTTAGCAGCATCGCCTTGTGACGGTTCATCTAGAGGCGCTGGTTCGGCCTGCTCCTCTTCAGGCTACAATAAGAAAAAGACGGGTTAACAAGCTACTAAAATGGTTTAGTAGAGATTAAGACATGGCGAAGAAACAGAAGATGAGGGGAGGAGTCACGTGCTCTGTCACTGGCACAACCAATGACAACAATCTCCAATATGCCACGTATACTGCAATCACGTGGAAGGATGGTAGTCTTAACTGTTGGTCACCATTTTTAATGGGTGCTTAAAAGCAACTAGTAGTTGTGGGATCCAGCAACTTTCCAACCCCCTAGAATTCGATGTTAATTAAAACTGACTCAGATGGTGTCGTAAAGAATTAAAAGTGATACAAAATTGGAGCCCAGCTCCGAGTGCATTTAAACACATGGCTTAGCAGGAAATATTGGCAAATTTAAACCCGTTTAACACTCAAAGAGAAGAAAAGAGGAAAGTAGACCAGCACGTACTTTTTCATGACGATCAAAACCGTCAAAGTCAGGGAAGTGAGGCAGAGGTTCAGGTTCGGTCTCGATTTTCGGTTCTTCGGCCTCAGCATGCTCCTTTTCGGATTCACTGACGGTCGGTAGAGATTCTGGATCCTGGACTAGCTCATTAGCTTCTTCGGCATGGCGCTTTGCTTCCTCAATTTCAACTGCCTTCTACAGAGCAAGGGTCAATGAAGGTGGGGAGCTGGTTATTTTCCCCTTTAATAGGGGGTCAAAATAGATAATTTGCACAAAATTAAAAGATAAGGAAACGAAAACCATGGAGGTAGGAATAAGTCTAGCATAGCTAGCCAGACAAGAAGCCCCGTAATCAGATGACACACTGTACCTATTCAATAGAACGTGAATTTAGGGGATTTTCCTTAGGCAAATTCAGGAGTTTCGGAAGGATTCTTCAAAATACAAGACTAAGTAGCAGCATAACCGCAAGTTCTAACGTAAGTAACAACTATTTTTGTGTACAAAAGTACCTTAGCAGAAAAAAAACGACAAAGTTGCGATTTGGACTGGCGATTCGTTTACAAAGCAAGTAAAGGGGACCATCACCTACTTTGGCAATGTAAGCTCTGTAAATCTCATGCCCACTTTCAAAGTCCTTCCGCCTTTTATCAAGTTTTTCTTCCTTTTCTTTTGCCAATGTCCTTTAATGGTTGACAAAACACTGGTCATGTTAAAAATAAATACACGCAACAGTATCCAAAGTAATAGGCATACCCGCAGGTGTTTTCACATTTTACAAGGCCAAGATATTCATCAGACCCGTCACAACAATCTAGACAAAATTTTCATCAAGTTTAAGGGCTTACCACACACCATATCGTTAACGAAACTCGAATGAATAAAAGCACCCTCATGCCCGATATTGCTGCAATAGAATTCCATATCCGGACATGCAGATGTGCCAGGTTCATCAGACCCATCAACACAATCGCAGTAATCATCGTTTACTTTACTCCAAGGTATGGTTGCCGATTTATCCAAACAAGTAAACGGTTTAAACTCCGTGTAGAAGGCAATATCTACTATGTTAAATATATATCACAACCATACTTGCAGGATGTACGCCTATCGGTACTTCGGAGGCGCGGAGCACATAAGGAACACAAATAAGTGTGATAAATAAAAGGGACTTCATCATTGATACTAGTGAGAAAACAGGCCTTTTTACAGGCTAGATATGACCGAGGTAGTAATTGGTGAATATTAGAAAAAGGCTAAATAGCTTTTCATTGAACCTGGGTTAAAGCCCATCTAAATCTTATGTTTTTATATTCTGTAAACAATGTTTTTTAAATCTTATGAATTAAACTGTCTATGTGAATGCAGTTATTTATTTGAATTCATTGATGCAGGAGTTTCATCCCAACATGCGATAGCTTGTTGGATTAATGTTTAATAAAAGCGGTGACATCCCACTTCTTAATAACTTTCATATAAAAGTGTACAACACTCATAATATAAAATGCTCTAAAAGTAAATCCAACAGGTCTAGGCTGTAATAGTGGCGGAATCGACCTGCGAAATGCGTCCAAGCTGAAAGGTGTGAAGTTTCCAATATACTAACAGTATAATATATGAAAACCATGCCAGACAGCATTAAAAAATAAAGTTTATTGTTTAAAATCTGGTCTGCTTTTAGTGCAGCCGGGCAAATCACTAAATAACTTTATCAGACTATTTAGGGACTCAAAAATATCAAATAAACAGAGATACGTCGTTTAACTCTTTGCATCCCATTGGGTGACAATTGCAAAAGTTGACTTGAATGCTTTGGATAAGAAGCAACGTAATGTAAAAAGATCATGATTTTTCCATCTAAAAAGAGAACAAAATTGATGATTGCTGTAATATATTTCGCGATTCTGTCAAAGATCATAGATTCATTTTCCTATATCTAAAAAAATTTTAGTTGTACAGTTTCCAGTTACCTCATACCTGATTAATCTAGGAAACATTTAATTGACACATGTCAACAAAATGATCTCTGAGTGACTGAAAAATTGTTAGATGCTGTGGTTAGTGGTGATTAGGTTTTTTCAAAAAAAACGTGTTATTTTTTCGCTCCTTAAATCAAGGTTTCAGTTTAGAAGCAGCCTAGTCCTCAGCTATAATTTGAAAAGCAGTTGATTTCTTTCCCCTTTTTAAAATCCACATTTTAAAGGAATTAACATACACATTAAAGACTTCATTTGAATTTTTTTCGATATGCATGCTTGGTCTGGCAAAGTTCGCTTTCAATTTTTGATATGTATTCTGTGTGTTTTTTTGCCTGGACTCATTATGAAATTAGGGCTTAGTACAATAATAATAAAGCATGTCTGTTGAATGGGCAGCGTTATTTAATGCTTTTGCTTTAGCAAAACGAGGTGACGTAGACCTAGTTCAAAGATGTTTTCTCACTTCAAACGTTTGGCTTTTTGATGTTACAAATGACTCAAATTTACAAAGCAAGTAGCACTTACACAGGTGTTACCCATGAACATTATCAGCTCAAAATATTGACTTCCAAGAACACAATGATTAAACTGTCATGCAAATAAAACCAGATCCACTGGCAATGGAGCTGGTTAATTTTTTTAAAGAAAATGGATGTATCGGAAGCCTATTGCTGGTTTTTTTTATTTTTCGTGCGCATATTGCAAAGGCAACTTTAAAAGAAATTTTAATTACACACATGTTGTCTGCAAAAACGCTGAACCAGAGTGCATCGTGGATCAGAATTTCTGCCGTGGACAATTTAAATTATTTAGTTAGTGTCAAAATGATTATGTTTAATCAGTTAAAGCATTTTTGAAGTTCAGTTTGAAAAATTTGTGATGCAATTGACTTTTTTCTTGGGTTTTATGACCAACGAAAAGTAATTTAAAAATTTTAATTTTCAATTAAAAAAATAATTTTTTAAGTTCAAAATGTTGATTTTTTTAGGTTGAAACTAAGCGACAAGTGAAACTCTTGAAACAAATAAATACCAAAGTTTTAATTTTCCCTTAAAAAGAAATCCCTTTGACTTTCTTAAGGAAAAGCGAATTTCACCTCTAGTTCCCTCAAATTTTGACAAAAGCTGATTTTTTAATTTTTTAGTGGCATTTAATTATGGAAGACGCAGCTGTGAGCACATGCAACTTGTAAAGATGAAACGGAGATTAGGAAAGTCGCAGTAAAGCACAAACCCGACAAATTCCGCATTCATTTTGACTTAATGCGCAAGCCGTGTGACATTTCCTTTTTCTTTAATTTTCAAAAGCAATTTTAGTCAAGCCATTTATCCAATTTGTCGAGTCTAACACTTTGTCTTAATATTATGGTAAATTAACAATTTATAATAAGGTTAATCAATTTTTGTTGACGTCTATCAGCATACTCTATGATGCAGCGAGATATTACGATGATTAATGCTCCCCTAAATGTTGAATTAGGCATCAAATTTCATGGCCAGAATTTCACAATAAAATTTGAAATAAAAGGCTGGATTTTTTCTGCACCTAGACGTTTATATTAGCTTGTTGAAGGATTCAGAATGTGATGTTACACCACGCCTAACCTCTCTTGCTGCACTAGCACAATAACTCTTCTTTTAAAATCAAAAACCCGGAATTCCTGAGACAAATTTGTTCGAGAAAGCCCATCAAACATTTTCTAGTTTGCCTACATGTAGCTGCAGACAAATACAGTATAGGTTAATTGGTCAAGGTACTAATAATTCCATGCCTACAAGATTAAGGCTGGTAGAGGGAAATGAAAATGAATTAGAGTGTTTATACAGATGAACCCGCTGTGAAAAGGGGGCGGCATATTGAGGTATAAAGCTGACGGATTAATAACTGCTAATTAATAAAAATCAATAAAAGTTAATGTTAATGATTAACAATGGCATTTTTACTTTATAAAATACTACTTGATTTGCTCTTGCTTTGATTTGTTTGTTTTAACCTTAGTAGGTCAAGTGCCTGGAACGCGTTTTCTCAAACACACGATAAAGCAGGTCTTCGGGGTCCGGTGATTTGGTTAATACGGTACTGTAGTTAAGAACTAAAGGCTGATAACACAGCGGTATAAATGAGTAAATCGTCAAGGTCTTCAAAAAGTGATCAAAAGGTAAGATGCTATTTAAGTTTTACCCTTGTTTTAGAAGGCAACTGAGCCTCATGATGAGAGACTTGAAGAATATAGGGAATCATTTAACTTATTTGACAAGGATGGCAACGGAAAAATATCAATACTGGAACTTAAGTCCGTTATGAATTCTCTTGGTCAGAAAGTCTCGAGCAAAGAAGTTGCACAAATGATTAAAGAGATCGATCTCAACAGTACGTGTATAAATGCCATTATTTGCGTCTTAAGATGACGGTGAGGTTGATTTTGACGAATTTGTTAAAATGATGAGGAAGTCGAAACCAATGTCTGATAAGGAAAAACTTAGAGAGGCATTCAGCGTTTTTGATCGAGATGGTAATGGATATATCTCTCGCTCTGAAATGAAGTAGGTTGTGGGAAATTTTTTTTTATCAACTAGCATGAATCAGATTACAATTGTCAAAATATGTTAATATCGTGTTATATTTAAAATTATTGATGGTTGGTTAGGGCAAGCATCATGAGGGTGTTCTATTTATTATTATCGATTTATCTCAACCTTTACATGGCATTTCAGTTAATTAATCCAATGCAAATCTTGCCAGTCATTCTTTTTTTGAAAATGATCCTGATTTTTGACAAGTTATTGTCTGTCAAATGTAGTCGTAAAAGTAGCATAAAGCATAGCATACCATTAGAACAATTGGTTTCACAGATTCCATGAATGTGTGTAGTTTGATCGGGACATTTTGTGTCACGCTTTTAGAGAAAATGTGAGTTTTACATCTAAATAATAAACTACTATTTCGAGACTTTTTACTTCATTCAATTACCGTCAATCAGTAGTTTTGATCATCGGTGGACATGTGTGTCTCCTAAACTGAACTGATATGCTAAATGTAAATGCTATCATTTTAAGACAGGTTATGCGCAATCTTGGAGAAAATCTCACTGACGAGGAAATCCAGGATATGATAAATGTTGCAGATTCTGATGGTGACGGTCAAGTCAGCTTCGAAGGTTTGTTGTGTGGTTTTAATAAGAATTGTTGGTTTACTGAAAGTTTTGGGGTTTTTATTTTTAAATCACGTAGAAATTTTGCAATCTCGGAAACCAGCATTGTGTTCACTGCATCTACATCCTATTTTCACACGATATGCCTAGTTGTTTTGTAATATTACAGGGTCTTTTGTTTAGTGATTTGCAATAATGCAATAATCGTAATCGAACTCTTTGACTTGCTGCTGCAGTCAACTTATGTCACGATTTATTAAATACATTCATCGCGTAAGGAAATCTGTATTAAATTTGTTAACTATTAAACTATGTCCAGAGCGCGATAGTTAATATGCTTAATATGTGAATCGTTCAATCATTAATGTACTCTAATTTCATTTCACATAATCCGTCTACGTTTAATGTCATAAGTTATAAATGTTCCTTGTTGTTTGCACGGTAGACAGTCTACTTTTGGCTAAAATATATTGATTTTTTTTGCATTTTCACGGTGTGAACAAATATGGATGATGTAGAAACGATATGCTGAATAAACCACAAGACATTTTCAATATAAAGATTTGTAAAAAATAGAGATCTTAAAACTTAAATACTTGTTAGTCAACGCTTATTTCAATTCATAGACCCGGGGAGAACCTTACCATGAACTGTGAAAAACGACCATATATCTAGCGTTGCCATTTATCGTAATTGTGATTTGTATGTAGTCTAAGCAAGAATGCATTGTGCTTCTTTATAAATGGACAGAATTGCGTTTAGTCATAAAGACTGCATGGATGTGCGCATATTTTAACTAGATCCAGAGGTTATGCGAGAAATAAAAGCATTCACGCACACACGCGGTTTTGACGCATTAGCTTAGTGACCTTGCTGATGTGCTCAATTGCCAATCACTTACTTTAACACAGCAGATGCAGCCCGTTTAGACTGTGAAGGCTTAAAACGATGGGGACAGATCTGAAATTTAGTGCATTTGGAATCACCAAGGTTAAAATTCTCCGCTTGGTAGTAACTCAGAGGCGCAGTGTCTGCTTAAATTCACGCAGTCAGCTTTTATTAGGAGAATACTTACTTGCGAATTTGTCTACTCACTGTCACATCTAGTGTCTACATCGGTGTTGAGAGTTAAGTGTCAATGATCCATTGTTTATCGCCGAAGGAGGTTCACCAAAGCCCCACGCCATTGTTTAACCCGAAAGTTATCTGTTAAACGAATAAGCAGTGCTAGTTCCCCGTGACTATGTGTGATTCCGTTCATTATTTTCCGTTATTTTTTCCAAATTTTAGAATTCCAAAATATTATGAAGCAACGACAGGACAGCCTCTGATTCCGCCTCGCTAACCTAAACAATACTTTCGTCCAACTGATTCTGTGATTTTGTTATTTGCTCAACTCTATCTTTATTAAAACGAATGAATTTTTCCTTGTATTGAATCTAGCATATAAAACTGCAAGTACTGATTCTACCATTTGGGCGTGGTCTTAACTATGCGAAAGCAGAAGTTGTCGAACAATACAATTCGATCTTGGTTCTTCAAGGTAGTTCTACGATCAAAAGTAGTCCTAGTAGCGACCATTATTAGTTTGTCGTCAACACCTCATTTAATTTCTCTGCCAAATTCCTTGATATTCAAGATCTGAGGTTTTCTTAAACATGTACAAGAATATGTATGAGTTCGTGTAAACACACTAATTCCTAGTGAGATCTCCAATCGCTAAAACTTCTAGATACACCCAGATTGAAGCTTCGTTGAGTCGCAATCAAACGTGAGATACAGCATAAGAAGAGATCAGCGCTGCTGTTTTCATCAGTTACGTCTTAATTGAACGACATGGAGGTGATAGCATCGGGCATGAACCCGACAAACCAGACCCACACAACAGTTTGAGTGATTGGTGAAGGTGCAGAATTAAGCCGTCTAAATCTAAGTCCGATCTGCTGGTCACTCGAGAAATCTTTTGATGCGTTTTACCGCAACAAGCAGTATTCGCCCTGATGAATGAACTGGGATGGTATAATAAAATTCCACAACTCTTTTCCATCAAAGGTGATTGGAGTCACTCAAATTTGCTGACAGTGTGATAGGTATGGGGACTAAGGTAGAATGCGCCAACTTCCTTTACACAGCGATGCTCAATCACACACCTTCTGAAGGCTGCCCCAAATTGCAGCTTCCTCTCGCAACACCACGTGTTCAAGGACCTCAACAAATCTTCCATTGGAAACCTCTGACGAAGTTCAGACGTCGAAGGCTATGCCTGAGGAAGCTTCTCTTCAACTCCTAGATGTCAAATGTTTATGTCGATGACACTGGAAAGCAGCCCTACTGTTTAGAAAATCAGAGGTTTTTTTGGACAGTGGTTCTGTCCATTTCTGATCCCATGTTTCGATGCTGATAGATACGTCGAGATACGTCGTTAGGCAGTTAGCTTAGTGCAAGGAATTGTTTCAATCACTTACAATCCAATTCATCGATGTATACTATTTAGGTGAAAATTTGACCTGATCAAGTACCTCCTTCGAATGTTAAATGTGTTTTCGTAGTCGTGTTAATCGTGGCTTGCGTGCACCAACCTCCAGCGCGTCTGCTTGGACTAGGAATTTGCCTTCCACCTATTTGTTTGAATATCAGGAATTTTGTCGGGGAAACTATGAGCTCCCGTTGCTAGTTCATATTTCAGCTGTGGTCGTTTAGACTTTGCTACGCATAAATCACATTCTTCCACACCACCGGAACAGCCAAGCGAGTCAAACACGAAAAGTTCGCTTTTAAGTGAGGTCAGCTAGAATTTTTCTCATTAACTTGTGTCCTGGTTTGCAAGGTGCTCTTTGTATTTGCCTTTGAAGAAGCCGCACTGCAAGTACGAAGGTGCAACATTTTGCAAAGGTTAGCGTGTAACGTTTTGTATCGCACTCTGGATGATGCGCATGCAGAGTTCATGCAAAGTGCTGAGTAAATTAAGTAAGAAATCACTAGACACTAAACAGCAGAGTGTCAAACGGATGTGGTTAAGGGCAATGATAGCACTTCAAAGTTATCCAATCACGTAGTGAATAATACTTGGCGTTCATTGGTGAGAAGGAGGCTGATGTTGTTAATCTGTACTGAAGTTAGGGTACTGGATCAAATGTTTTCGGCATTGTGGCGTGAAATCACGGCCTGGAGTTGACATGTTCCGGTTTAGTGCAAAATCCGAGGCACAAGACGAACAAAACAATTGTTAGCACGTGCTGAGAGATGCTTTCAAGACATCGCTTAATTTGACGCCAATTCTTGACCTTGTGGATCCCAAAACAGCTAATTTACACAAGATAGCCTAGTAAAATTACGAACTTTTCTATGCCCCGTGGCATCTGTTTAGTGAATTGACAAAAACTGGAATTGCGAAGAAGTAGATGAAGTGATGCCCCTAGTGCAGACTCGCCCACTCAAAATGCTGTTTCCCTTCAGCACAGTGCTTCCCAATCCAGTAATGAAAATTAAACTATGTCAGGGTCACGAATGTGTCGTAAGGGAGTTTGAACAATCACAAAATTTGGTCCACACCTCCTCACCCAGACGTCGAAAGTTCCACCGCTTGAAGACAGTCTTAAAAACGGCTCAAGTGCTCGTATTTCATGCCAGCACGTGGTTTGTTGCGGGACAAGGCCATTCGCTACAAGCACTGTTGGTGTACATAGGGTAAACGCAATGGGCAAGTCAGTCTGACTAAACCTACTGCTTGTACCACTATAAATATCAAAAATTAGCCACAGAAATTGTGAATTATTAGGGCGAATTCAACCGAGAACGTGGAACATCTGGTGGACCCGTTTTTGGTGTTGTGTACTTTCAAAACAGCCATGGTGGTGCCCCTAAGTATTCTCTGGTCAGAATTATTGAAGTGCAACCTTAGTTTCACGGAAACTACACAAGCGATCAGGTGAATTTAGCGACTTGTGAAGTGGGCTTTCGTGTTGTGTACTTTAATGTGCACACAAACTCAGTGTAGAGGCGATTTTGTTGGTGCACTTGCCTGCTCAGTTAAGGCAAAACCCAAACATTGAGGGTTCTCCAGACTCAGAGAGTTCTAATTTTATCACGAAAGTGAATGCACTTGAAGGTCATTATCAAGCAGGTTAAATAGACACTCCGACTTGGCAACATACATGTGGTGTTGTATTTAAAAACCCATTCAAGTCACTTCAATGACCTGCACCCAGTCAACAAATGCGGGTAGGCAGTGCATTATTTATCACCCCTCTGCAGTTCCGTGCCAAGGTGAAGTGGTCAAGGGAGATATTTTAAAGAGGACTATTTTTGGAAGATGTCACCACAGTCGCAACGGCGCGACACGTGTGACGGAATTAGATGATGAGTGGAAATGTGCTAGTACATGATGAAATAAGCACTTAGATACCAGCTAATTAACCAAAGGTGAACAGATCGTTCATTTTACACCCATCTTTCTCTTTCAATGAAGTTAATCACTGCTTTTTTGTTTAAATTGGATACTTAGTTAGGGAGCACCCACTAGGCAGACTTTGTCGGCAGCAATCGATGGCACAAAAAGGGAGGGCAGTCGATGGTAGCTCTTCGGCTTTTCTCCATATTTACCAACGCATTCGTTAGCCGAGAGGCAGCACCTAAGGTGAGTCCACTTTTAGCCAATTAAAATGGCGCAGGCGTAGAAAAAGCGCTGGCAAAAGCTTCAGCGGCAGGACTATTTACGGTTTTACCTCGTAAAACGGTGCGATTCAAATGGTAGCCCTTCTTTTTAGCCTCCCAATAGGCTAGATTTAGTCTGCTTTCTCAGACGACACTTAAACTCCCCATTTTCAGACTTAAATTTTTACAGAAGAAATGCTTTTTGACGCTGGATCTTCGTGACACTATAGCACCACAGAATCCTTCACTTTTCCCTAAATGGGTTGCCAAATAAAACAGAACTTGACGGCGACATGGAGATAAAGAACTCGTCGTGCCGAGCGAAAGTAATCTGTAATTGAGTTATGGCTGATGATGGCGACCTGTTTAAACAGTCAAGACATGGCTTGAAAAGCAAAGCAAAGCTCTGTTAGAGCGAGAAAAAAGTTAGTAGAAAATGAAGCCACTTTTGACTTCCTTCTGACCCGAAAAGTTTGACGTCTCGAAAGTGGAACGGTTCCCAATTTTGTGATGCTATGGTTTGGGATTCATATTCAAATCGCGGAACCTTAAGTTTCCAGGATAAAAAAAATAAAAAAAATGTTGCTGAAAGGCATAATATATGACCTAGATGAGCTTTTTGTGACCGACACATATACTTGGGGTAAGATAATATCAACTCAGCACTAAGTAACATCCAATCATCAACCATCAGCGAGCGAGTTCACCACTGCAACGGAGCATAATGACAGGCTTTAGGGTGATGTTCGGGAAAAGTAGTTTCAGTTGAAATTTCAGAGATCCGACTACAGTATTCCCGGAGTCCGCAGAGGATTACAAAGTGACCTGTGAATGTGAATTATCTTCTTGTCGATCTGCATCAGTATGACTCGGCCACCGTCACAGTGCCCCGCCATACCTTGGTTCATGTGTCGATCAGCATCACCTCTGCCGCAGCCACGGTTTTTCTACATTCAGCTGTGAAGCCGCTCTCGTGATAGTTGAAGCTGCATCGGACTCAGTTCAGGTGAATAGGCAGATATCCGAAACCCGCCAGTGAAGTAAAAGTGGGGTATCGTGAGATAACAGGATTCCATTCATAGTACAGATCCAACCACTAGCCCGTTTAAAACGCTTACTTCAGCGTACCTTCCAATCCACTGACCCCAGTGACCCAATCAGATTATAGAGTGTGATTAGTGGATGATTTAATGTCCTCTGGGGAGTACTTTGAGTTTCTTCTAAATCCATCTTTCTGTTTTGATTTGCCAAACAATCTTTGACCTCAGTACAGTGTGTTTACTTTAAACTGGATTCCGTGCTTCGCAATGCACTGCAATTTACTTCACATGTTTGAAGCTCGTCACTTCCACTTTGCTAGATCTCCAGTTCCTGATTCCAACTGCAATTTCTCGACACAGCAAGAATTCCAGTTACTTGAACTGCCAAAACGGGAAGAAAAATGTTGAAACCAGCTTACCTTAACTACTTGATGTAGGTCGTGTTGTAGGAGGAAATCTAGCAACCACAAAAACCCTTAATTACTCGCCTAGTCGCTCGACCTACATACAAGCACTTTGTAATGCGCACTGATAACCACCCCTCAATCGCATTACGCACCGACTTGAAGGCACTGTTGTGATGAGCGGTCCTTCGAATATATGGTGTCCCATTCAGCGCCAAGGTACCCCAAGCACAAATCCCTTGATCGGTCCAAAAAACTGCTAGTTCGGCCAAACCTCTAGCATTGTAAGCAAAAATCTGACCATCATCTGCCCATCATCATAATCATCATTTAACCGTCATCTGCCCAAACCTACTCAAGTACCACCTTTGTATTTAATCGAATGCCTAGGAACCGTAACTTGGCATACGAAGGTACCTGGCGAAGTAAGTGCAAGTGCATCTAAATGCGGGCCCATCTTAACCTGATTACAATCGTTTGTATTTTTATATCTAATGTAACAACGTCAAACACCCTACTGTGACGGTGTCAAGCATTAAATTTGACTCGAAAGACAATAACGATTGGGCGCTGTGAGATGTGGACTACATTTACGCAAGATATCGATTTTTCTCTGGATGACGCGCCATCTTTAAGTGGATCGTTCTGCAATCAAAAGATTTTATTGGAATAAAGTCAAGTTGTGTAGAATTTAGAAGTAGAATTTAGAATTTAAATCGTTCCAATCGACGGTCGCCACATGTCGGACATTTTAGTTGGCACATTTAAAAGCTGTGCTGACAAAAAATTTTAAAAATCAAGTTTGTTTGTTTACGTTCATAGGATGGCAGCTTTCATCTGTTAGGTTTTTTGGTCCAGTGTGATGGGGCTAAAATAGTGCAATTTTCGGATTTCATGAATGCTGCGGTGGGAAAATGCCTGTTTTTTCCAATCGAACTGAATGCCAATTCAACTAGCGAAACTGCTGGAATTGACAACACTCTCATGGGTTTATGGATTAGTGTGATCCAACGTGATCTACCAACAACTGCCCAAACCGTTCAAAGGACGCTCGAGGTCTCATCGTGTACTCACAACTTCTCTGCGAGGAATTGGCTAGCTGCATTTTGAACATAAAGACAAATTTTGACGGTGGTCGTGATGCCAGTAGTTCGAAGCCTTGTCGAGGATGTCAATATTCCCCAAGACAACTTGACTATCCCGGAGATGTGTTCACAATGTCAATCACTGAAATCACCAGTCAAAGGTCGCCCAGGCACATCCATGCACTCGACCTCCGAGCTGCCTTCAAACTGCGTTCGGAATTTCGGCTGAGACAGAAAAACGCTTTCCGCAAGAGCCAACGTTTTGTCCCGTTCTGGGGTGCCCTTGACGCGCCAAACAACTGTTTACACTCGGGGATTTGCATCGGCCCACCGGGTGAATCGTAACAGAATCTTAGAATATACGCACAGGATTTGTGAAGGTTGACGAAGGCCTTAAATGTGTGCGACACTACTGAATATCGCCCTGTTTCAACGCATGTCAACCCTCTAGCTACCTTCCAATATAACTCATATGGGATGTTGTGGTCATGTGAAGATGTTCAACTTTTAAAAAGGGCGCATTAAGTACAGTGAAGTTGAAGACCCAGGGATTATGCTCGTAAATTCCACTGTTATGCCCAAATTTAGCTCGTGTCCATTTAAAAGACTGTCACTGTCAACCAAAATCCGTTGATTTAAACAAGTCTCAAGGTCATCGGAAAACATCGGGGTCGAAAGTGGTAGAGGGCAAAGAGGAGTGTGCGTTGAATTGTTCTCTTTCGTTATTTTTTAGTCTTACTAGGAGACTGGGTCAACGTGGGAAACCCATAAGTTGGTGCGAGGGCCAGAATGGATAGGTTGTTGGTACAGGTGTGCGCAGGAATGCGCGCACGAAGCTTGAGTTTTCTGTGCAGCGAACGTGAACACAAGGGTCATTCAGCAACTGCCAGCAGATTTGAGTCAATATGCGAGCTGAGGATGTGTGGTAAATCAGGTGAAAATAAGTAACCTAAGTGTCATGTGAGTGATGCGTAATGCACAAGAAGACAGTAAATGGCTCGCTGATGTTGCAATCAACTTTCGTTAACTTGCAGCTCAGTGTATGCACTAAAACGACGAAAGCAACCAATTACCGTTATCATTTTCCAGTTTTAAACTTGCACACGGTGCATGGGGCTAGCTGCATTTACTTCAGTATTAATTCAAAAATTTCTGGCTTACAGAGACTACATTGGTGTTTAAAGAGGAAGCATTGCACAGCGCCATTGTTTGAATGATATTTTTAAATAGAGTGGCAGGAAAGTAATTTGATGCCTCTGATAGTGTTCGCAACACCTCTGACGCATTGTTATGATCCTCTACTAACTACTACCAGTTCTTTTAGCTACTAAGCCCATTGCGATTGGTGAGTAAACGCATGTAATGGTTGTAACTCATGACAAACCGTGCACTTGACTGCCTGTTGGAAGTCGATACGAGGGGTTAACAGCAGATCTCACAGAGCAAGTTGAACTGCCAAGTTCGTTGGATCACTATCATTTCACCACTATTATTCGGTTCCATGTGCGGAAGTTAACGCAGCACTAAGGAGATTCATACCTGTGGGGGAAACCAGAGGTGGCAGGTTTGAATCAGCACCCTCTTTTCTGTAGCCGCGCCTCTGGAATCAGCCAACCTTTCCGCCTCTAAATTACTCACCCAGTGAAGAATTTAACGAATACACCGCTACTTTTAAACAGGGTACAAATCTGAAACGAAATTATTGCTGTCAGTCATTTTAAATTTCACACCAGGCACATCGGCACCGTTTTTATGATGAGAGAAAACTGATGAGGAGGTCGCACCTTATTGGCTGATTTTAAATCGATTGAGGAGTGTGAAAGACTGTTCCATGAGGTGCAGTTTGCAGGAAACAAGCGTGCCTGCAGTAGAAAAAAGTTTTTTTTATTACAGAAAACTCACCTCTCTAATGTTTGCACCAATGACAGGCACAGGAACATAAAAGCAGAAAAAGACTTTTGTTGGGGTCTGAAGCCACTTTAAACCTACCCTAAACCGCACGACACAAATTACTTTGCTGGAGATCGCAAAACTCGTTATTTTACGATGGAGTCGAGTTTTTCTGCAGTGCAAAGATTTTCTGAAAATACCACAGCATGGAGCTTTATTGGTTTGCCATGAATTTCAACTCTGTTTGGGTGTATCGACTGATTCTCTTTGTAGAGGCCACATTAGGTAAAGAAAGTTCTATTGATTTTAGCGTAGTTAGTTTTTTTTCTAACAAAAAATCACAACGAATAAAAGTGTTGTTTAATAATTCAGCGAGGTTTCGAAAAAGTTTGCATTGCTTTTGCAAGCGTTGACGAATGTAAATAGCTCTAACGCGTCAACAATAATCTGTGATTGCGACTTATGAATATCCGGTATTCACATTTAACATAAACAAGTTACTTTGTTATCTAGGTCTGACAAAATGTTCATTTGACTGTTATTAAGGACACTAAATTGCGATTATAGCAAGGGAGCTCAAGTGGTATTCACTAGGTGTACACTGTTGCCATGGTAATGTTTGCCTCCATCTACTCATCGAAAAGGGGAATCGCATGGTGTTCCGACGATTCAACTAAAGACTTGAGGTGGTGTGCTCAGTGTCTGGTCATTGATATCGAAATTCCGTTGACATTTTTCTAAGAATTGGGTTGGATTTGACCGTATCCATGAGGAACATGGACTACTGGGAAATGTTGGCATCTCCAATTTACAAAGCTGAGCGGTTTTTCTATAAAATCAATTTGCTTATCCCAATGAAAAGCAACACTTCTTGGGCCTGATGACCTAATTTCAAGTGATCTAGCTGTGGTTGCAGGTAAGTTGCTGAAAGAAACGCGATCAGAATGACCATGTTTTCACAACATGCCTACTTAATAAACTTCAGTAGAAAGTGACTTTTTGTAAGCTCTTGGCAAATAGTCGATTTTATTGCTGCTATGTTCACGATGCTAATTGGGTTTTTTGTGTCCTAAATAAAAGCCAGTCAAGGTCATTATGATCAGCATAATCAAAGCAGGATCGCAGTAAGTATATGAGCCCTGAGAGATAATGAAATTTAAAAACTGGAAAGAGCAGTATCAGGTAATGTGGTTGCCATGGCAAATCCTACCTATAAATGTTTGTTTTGATAAGCAAAGGAATTTCAATCCCCTGCATAAATACGCAGTAAACAACAACTAAACAAGGCCAATTAGCACAGAACTTAGGCTACATGTTTCCATGTTTACTACGACAAAATTTTCAGTAAATTACATTAAAACAAACGCCGAATATACTCGAAAGCAATCGTGAACACGATGACCAGGTCAGCAAAAAGCGCGTCGTAATTCAAAAATTTAGCCAATGGCATTCTTCTACGTTGAATTTCATTAACCTGTTGCTGACATTTTTATTCCCTACTTAGTTTTAGGCGCTAAATCAAGCAAATCTGCATAAAAAGTGAGTTTATCGTGTTACTTGCAGATTTAAAAGTTAACAAGACATAACAGCCAGAGAATAACGAAAAGGCAAGTGACAGTAAAGACTGCCGCAGATTTCTCCTACACGTAGCTATTCGTGGCCAGGTACTGATTCCGAACGAAAGACTCGTCAGAATGTCTCATTGTTACAACGGGCATGGGAAATGTATCTGGGTTGGACATGGTAACTCAGATTGGTGGCAATCCGCTGGCAATTTTCTCGACCAGTCCAGGCACTTGTGAATATCGAACAGTCTGGCAGTACTGTCTGCGGTTTTAGTGCATATCAAATTGCCATTCACACCAACCGTCAATCCTAGTTTCACGCTCCAAACTAGGAACAATATAAGATGACTTGAATAATAGTTTTCTAAAGTGCAAGAAAAAGCTTTTGTCGTAAATGCGAAAACAAAAAACTGCATAACTAAAAATTAGCGGCATAACGTTAAGACGGTTACGAAGGCAACCCTAGGCCCAAGTTAGCTGGTGTGCTGATCTTACTTTCCAGCTAATAAACACGAAAAACAACGATTAAACATGATTAGCTATCATTGTGTCGTTGAAAGTTAGAACATTAATGTTTGGCCAAATTATCTAAATCTTCACTAGCCTTAACAATACCACTCCACCAATGCCCTTTTCACTGTTTACAACAATTTTGGTTCCTCAATGACACTGAAATAAACGTCGAGTGCACTTTAAAACAATCCCAAGCACGATGATAAAGCCTACGAAATTTGTGGGTCCGAATTTAGGACCGTACGCCCAAACCAATTCAGCCAGCAGAAATCCTCCATGTTGAATCTCAGCAACCTGTTAGACCAGCACTGAATCCATTTGTGTTTTTAGCAAGTAAATCAGACACACAACAGTTTCCAATTTATTGTGACGTTCGCACCAAATTTCAAGCCTCGTAGTTAGGCGCAAAAAAGATAAAAGACCACAGTGCGTACGGCCGTAGATTCACCCCACACACTCCGATTTGGACCTCACAGTTTATCAACTTGACCCAATGCACAAAAATCAATACACCCGTGTGTGAGCAAGGCTCGTGTGCGCACGCGAACAGCCCTGGATTCCGCGGCGTGGCAATCGATCAACAGCACGATCCAACGTGCCTGGATTTGCTGCGACGCGCAGTCGAGACAGTTGGCTGCACATCCAAGGATAAACCCGTCAACGCGTTGTAAATAACTTGATTCTCACAGGACTCGGAGTTGAGAGCGTGCCTTGCGTGGAACAAATGCTCCGTTGAATTGGCTCACCTGAGTTGATGACAAGCCTTTTTAATTTATACGATGTGGTAGTATGGATTTAGCTATTCGTGGCCAGGTACTGATTCCGGACGAAAGACTCGTCCGAATGTCTCATGGTCACAACGGGCATGGGAAATGTATCTTATTTTGTCGCAATCTACTGGCAATTTTCTTGGCCAGACCAACCGCGAGTACCGTTCCAACTGGAAAAAAAGAACTGTTTTTGGCATCATGTACTTTTGCATGTTGTGAAGTTACGATCAGGATAAGCCACTGACCTTACGGCTTTGCAGTGAACAGTTATAGAGTCATTAACTACGAGGCCATAAATTTTAACTAACATACACTAAAGCCAGCCATAGGACAAACGACCAACGAAATTCACCACGCAAGTAAATCAATGAGATCTCGCGGTGTGCCATCATTCGACTCTGCTGCCGCAAGTCGGTAGAAATCGATACCAGAAACTGACGAATAGTGGGCGTCACGATGTGTGTCCCTTCACTTTGGCGCATAACGATTTTGAATTCCAAAACGAAAATATTTAAACCCATAAGAGAAATATTCATCAGACGGTGAACAGAAGACATTTGATCAGCCCATAGCAGGACTTGATGTTCTTCTAACAGAAGACCAGAGTGTTTCAGGGTAAGGCACATCGCCAATTGTTTTATTAAAAAGACTTTTTTATCTAAACCAGCTTGATGTTTCATGAAAAGACCCGTTGTGAATCGCGTTGATCCACACCCGTTGATCCGATCACTCCAGCCTCCGACACATGGTCCCCCGTTTCGCGGCATGTGGCCAGCCGCGCGGATCCTCAATTCCCTTCTCATTAGTACGAACGTCTATCCTGGATTATCCTCACACCTAGGTCTCGATGTTAGTCCATCTATACCTGCGCACGCGCAAATGCCACTCACGACACGACGACGCAAATGTGGTTGAGCTTCGAAGTAAACGGTTTTATCCGAGTCCTCTCTGGTCTTTTTCTTTATCGTGGTTATCAGGGGAAGCGTAATCACGCCAAAGTTGATTCGTTGGCCTCGGTGTGGTTCAAGACCACATGTTGGGGCCCACAACAATTGATGACCTCGACGTGATGAACGGTTCTCCTAATTACACAGCAATTGGTGATCGCACAACAGACCTCAGTTTAGGAAGCATCGATTCTCAACACACATGACATGCATTTTGAAATGGTTTCAAGAAATTTGGAGATTAGGAAAACAAGGTGACATCGTTACGGTCTGTGAGCCAATATCAACATTCAATGATATATTATCGATTCTGCGAAAGTCTAACTCTTGATCAATGATCACTAGCATGGGAAGATGATTTTCTTATTCACTGTGCGTGTGTTTCAGTCCGGATTCTCAACCAAGCGGTCTGAATTTTATTCTCAAGCCTTTAGAATCTTTCCTGAAAATCGCCTATCTGCTGTGGAACCGCTGCTTACAACGTAATCAAAATACCGACCCTCCAATGAAGATTTTATAGTGTATTTGCTTATGTAAGGAATCGTGTTGAATCAAGTCCATTGACCCAGTCGTCCCAATCCACGACATACTGTCCTCCTTTTCAGCCATGTGGACAGCCTGCTCATTCGCCCCTGTGCATGTACCACCACCACCACCACCACCACCCGCTTTATCCATCTGGCCGTGCGGACACCTGAATCGTATTAGACATGCAAGACTGTGTCACGCACTACAAAACTTCGTTGGGCTATCCAGTAAACGGTTGTGCCTCGCCCTCTCCTGTCTTTCTCACCTTGGTAGCGTAATCCGGTTAGTTTCCACGCAGTGGCCCCAGTGTGGTTTGATTTAACATGCCGGGGCCTCAACAAGCATAGTCTTCGCAACCAAGCTTCCTTGTTTGGAGTAATCGCTTCGCTAAGACCAAAAGCACACCGCCAGACAGTCAGATTTACGCAAGCGGATGCGACAGCTGACGAATGCGAAGCAAGAAGCAAAAGTCATGCCCAATAATTCATTCAATGGATTAACTAAGGTGGAAACATTAACCTGATGGTTTTAGTAGGTTACATGGAGTAGAGATTGAACAATAATTGCATTTCTTATGTAAACAGCTATTTGATATGATTTGAGTGGAGGTGAATTGTCTTTGTGAGTTGACAGCCACCAACATGCCGGGGGTCTCGGGATTCATTCAATGACTCTCCATGTGGTTTGGTTAAAACCCGCGGAAATTGTGATTAAACGCGAAATCTGATCGAATTTACTAGGTAGGAGGAAACAGGGCAGAACGTAGTCATGCGAAAGCTCTTCGAAGGCTCTCACATCTGGCAATCCAGGGAAATTTTCAAATCACAAAAAAATGTTTACGCATGACAGGGACAGTAGACGCGACGATTGGTGATACCGTGCAACTTAAAACATCAGCATTTAGCATTCACAGGAAATGATTGCTGCTCAATTTCAGCTATCTGCAAAATTTAAGGTCTCCTATCGATCTGAGGCGTTAACCTGTTGCTGAGACACCTGTCAAAGGTGAACTACATAATTCAGTCAAATGTCTTTAGTAAGAAGCCATGCTGGTGCTAACAAAAAGACCGGCTCCGATGCTATGGTTGCGAAGATGCTTTGCATCAAAGACAACCATGCCAGACTGCCACTGGAGTTATAATCCCCGAATATTTATTTGGGAAAAATTAGTTTTGAAGATTAAACTGAGGGCTAACATTCGATAAAATACGATGGCTTCCATCGACTACCAGCCAGAGATATCTAAGAGAATGAGACGCATCTTTGGCATCGAAGTGACTTTACACAGGATGATGGTCCTGAATGTGCAGAGGGTCTTTCCCGAGGATATGGACACCGTCCTAACGCAGACATCCATCTCAGCCGTTAAATTTTTTTCTGAAGCAGTAACATGAAGGCTGTTGGTGGCTGCGACTCCCCCATTGCATTGCACCGGTTCTTAATCACAGGTGATCCTCTCTGTGCATCAGAGCTCTTTATTGTGCCATGCTAAACAGGATGGCTGTTGCTGTTCCAACATCTACTTTTTTCTCAGAAGCCACCAGAATCAATCAAGAATAAGTAAACGTTGTTCCACTTATAAAAAAGCCAAGTCTTCACCCATTGGGTTGAAACAGTCACATTTTTGCAAGTGAACACTGTAATTTTTTTCTTCTTTGGAGGGCCGAAGGCACTGCGAAAGACGGCGGTTGTGAGAAAGGGCTGGTCCAGTCTAGATGCCCGGAGTCAGTTGTTCCAAGGCGTGGCCGCACGGCGCAATAAAGAGTTTGCGGTTATGTCGATGGAATGCGCGTACGAAGTATGCAAGGTCGTAAATTATGACATTGAAGGGCCTTAGGATAAACAAGGCATTGGGGCAATCGGGGCTAAGGAAAATCCACTAATCCCTCAACTTACTTGGTCGGAAAAAGCGGAACGGGATGCATGGATACATCTTGCACAAATAAACGAAAATTGCTTGAGAAATATGCGTGAAGTAGGCCCTCCATTGCCTTATCGATGTCACCCACAGACAAGGAAATCAGGGTTTTGCCATTCGTCTTCTCGTCGTATCTTGTGATTGAACACTAGACGAGTTTTAATCAAAACCCTTCAATCTCTATTTGCTGTAGAATAAGCTTTTATCCGTATTCTCCCATTCCGAATTCAACGTTGATTATGACCCACTCAAAGCCACAGCTAAATCATTTCGAGATTATGTAACCATGTGAGAGAATGCATAGAAGTTATTAATTGTTCAACACATGAAACTTCAAGTCATCGTTTTCTGTGACCAAATAGAATGCGTCTGTGGAGAGCTAGAATCCCCAAGGCTATATCTTTCAAGATTTTCACAAATTTCTATTTTCATTATCATTCATGTTTATGCACACCAACTTTCGTATTCATATTCCCCTCCTTCTTCCTATTGGTTTGTGCATCTTTGAGTGTACTTTTTACCATATCCGCTCTGAAGGCCGCCCACGCCACACGCAAGCTGGCGCATGTGAACGCGCGCTCGGCCCTTGGCCGAATCACCAAAAGGTCTTTGTATTACCGTGGGAAGGCGCTGATTCATACGCGTTCAATCTGAGTGCTGGCTGCAGCGTGTTAACGAAGAAGTCAGGGTTTCGCATCGGTGCACCGGAAACCGTATTGTAGCCCACCTCAGCTCCTCCTGTAACACCGACTCCTAAGTTGTAATTCTGGGAAGAGGTCGTTTACAAGGTCAAAACGAGTCACGCTTCGAGTTTGCCGAGTACGCAGTTGTGGCAGTGAACAGACTTCTGCGTCGGACATATCAACCTCGTCTGTTGTCAATTTGGGCACATAAATGCAGCAGAAATCCATCACAACGACTCAAGCCATGGTGATGCCTCTGTTTAAACAACTTCAAGGCACAACTGCAGTGCAGTCCACAGACACATGGATTTACACATCTGCGATGAAGCGGGTGAATGAAATGCCAGGTGGTAAGTGAAATAACGAATGCAACTGCGGAGACCACCTAGCAGATCACAAATATTTTTCCATAGAGTAAACTTGAGATAGTTCACAATCCAACCCTGGATCATACTTCCACAACAATCCCACGCAATGTCTAGCGGGTGTTTTAGTACCACAAACACTTAGCTAGACAGCCTCTGCCACATAACCTCACAAATTCACAGTCGCTGCAAGCGAAATTGCAGAAACCCCTCGCGTGATTAGAACAAGTAACACGAACTGGAAAGCCAACAATTAATTCGCTGACCCACGCCGTTCGGTGTCTGCTTACACGCTAGCCTCAAGCAAATGTATTCGCGATTTCACGTGCAAGGACCAAACACGACGAAGGTGAAAGTAAAGCCCGTCGCCTCGTCGTTTATTTTAATGCCTACTCCGCCGATCCGCCTGATCACCGATGGAGTAGTCTCACCATATTTCTGACTGTTCTCAATACTGTCAACTATCTGACTAACACCAGCACGTGTGTTCATCACTGTGAAACATGTCGTTTTGGCGGTTTGCTGCTCCGGAGCACAATGGCTGGTTTTAGCACGATGTCGGTAACAGACAGCATCAGTTTCAATTCCAGCGATAAGGGCGCAGAGTCTGCACCAATGTGACTCGACTATAAATTCCAGTACCCCAGCACTTCTTCATCAATGTGGTGGCCGCAACCGCAGCTTGTTACATGCAAACGTGACACAAGGCTGTTGAAAAATCCTTGAATCAGGTAAAAAGACAAGTTAGAAGGCAATAAAGGTTATCTTTTGCAACGAAAACGCATGCGATGGCAAGTTCAATTCATGGCCCAGGTTAACGAGACTTCCTAAAGGAGATTATGATGGCGACCTTGTTGAATGGCTTCTTGTATTCTCAAAGACATAGGCATGGAGGTGGTGTTTGCCGACTTTCGTTTTCACTCGAGGGCCGCGCTGAAGACCTCGTCCGTGGTGCAGGAGTTCTGGATGGCCTCCATGGCGTAGCTGGGAGATGGCAGGAGGGATGCGGAGGACACGTGTAGTTCCTCCAGAACAGAGGCGGTCGGTTGGGGTTCAGCGGGTTCCTCGGCTGCCGAGAGAAGCGGCACGGTGAGCAGACCGGAGGAGGGGGAGACCGAGGTGCGACCGCTGGACCGGTAGGGGGAGGGCTGGAAAAGGCACGGCGCTGCCCTACGCGTGCCCACATTCGCCGAACGACTCGGAGCGATCTCGTATGTGGAAAATGAATGCGCAAGGAAACTATCGTCGTTCTGTAAGCAGCAAATAAAATCCACAATGGAGTTTTAATCTAGCAATGACTTTTGATAAAGGTTAAAGTGTCCAAAAACAGACGCGCTTTACGAATACGCATGGTGTGGGTCTCGCACACTCAAATTGACTACCGTTGAAGCTAGGCACCACCAAATACGCAAAGACGCCAACTCCAAGTGGATTGCAGACTCCACGAGGCGTCGCAGAGGAGAAGACCCATCGACACGCAATGGCCCGTCTGAGTTGGGGTATAATAGGTACTATCACGCCGGAAATAAGGTCACTGTAACCTTGTGTGCTGAAGATAAGTCAAATGGTTGTTCAAATGAGAAGCCACAAATAAGAAAACTGTGGCTGGTGTCGTTACCCAACCTGATTACGAATTGGATGACCGGCAGTAGGCACGCTGGTAAACAGCCGTCGGATGGGGTCCTCAACAGCTAGGCGCGTAAGTGGTCAAACATCCAAAAGTGGGATGTAGTAAACTGTTATCACCACCAAACATCGGTTACCTGTTTCTGGAAAGAGAATACACGAAACAATGGGCCGCCTGAGGGTGTTACGGCAAGGTAGCTGCAAAGCACCATCAGTCAAGCGGAGTCGTCGTCTCACACCCCCGTTCACGTGCCTCCCCGCTACTCCCCCACTCGTGTGCTTTAACCAGGTCGCCCAACGTGTTTTCGTCAACAGACTCATAAGAACAGCGCGATTTCGAACACGTACACAACAAGGTTGAGGCATCTGATCCACGGTTGCGTCTCCGCCTTCTCCGGCGTGTGTCCTTCAACAGGCAATTGCTCAAGACAGTGTGATGGGGTCAGCGAATTTCCTGAAACGGGCCACGGCGGAAACCCAAATCGCTCAATCAAGTCGACATCTAACACACTTAGGCCAAGAGATTTTGCCAGCAGGCGAAAGTACGTGACTAGATACCCACACATCAGCACGTGACGCGAGTCATCTGCAAGCAACCGATCACGATATAGGACATCGCACGATAAAAATCTACATCTCTACGGGGTAACAGCAAACTCTAAGTGGAATTAGGTACAAAAACTGGGCCTAATAGCAGGTCGAATTAACTGCCTTCCGGTCACAATTTCAGTAAATAAAGCAATATTGCAGATTTAATGCATCGATTTGACACCATCGACGTTAACAACAAACTTCTCTAACTCCAAAAGGTAAACACATGAACATCCGACTTATCTTTTCCGGGCATATTTGCATGACAAGGAGGCATCAAGCGACCCTGGAGGCTTCCCACGCACCACTGGATGTGGGTTTCTCTAGGGGCGACTAGGTAAGAGTGATACGACCTTACCAAGTAGCCTAATTTCACACTAACAACTTTGAATGCAACTTGCCCCGAGCATTTATCAGGCTAATACAGCACTAGAGAGGTCCTACGTGTGGGTTTATCAGCTAATGTCACAATAATTATTGAGAGCTTAGGCTGAGAAGTGACGTAGACGACGTAAATTAAATGAGTTCCATAATTCCTACGCAAACTCAGCAAATTACGAAGGAACGGGACGTGTGCCCCAGTGAGATTATCACAGTGATACACGTGCAGAGAAGCCGTCAAAATTAACCAAAGGAGGAATACAGCTTTGAATGCCAGATCAAAGATGAGAAAATAAGACCGCAGATGGAAGATGCAAACCCAGTCAGCGGAGATGAGTAATAGCGTGTTACAAGACTTACTAGGGGGAGATCACTCCATTCCAAAGTGCCAGGATTCAACTGGGGCGACGTCTGTTGAAATGTCACTTCCGGGTGGCTGGTGTTCTCAATTGTTCTGCGCAGGGTTCCTCGGTACTCAGGTGGCACATTCTCGTCCGGGTTTTGTGTCGCAAATAACGATGGCGTGGCCTCCTCGTCTCCTGAACTGTCGACCGCAAAGGCGTCGTTTCGTTGGCCCACTTCGTCGATCTTGTAGGCGGGCGAGGTAGCCCCACCGCTATGATAACCCGAGGAGGGTGACGAGAAGGTAAGAGGCTGAGCTGAGTTTTCAGTCCAGCGGTTCTCTTTAATGAGGTGGGCCAATTCGATTATGTACTTCCCCTCCTTGTAACGCTGACTTGCCTCAAAGGCGCGCTCGTACTTCCACCCGAGAAGAGAGTTGCAGCCAGCGCAGTGCAGGTCGGCCACACGGTGTTGTCCGGTTAGGAGCAATCGATCCTCAGCCCCGGCCGATTTGACGTTTACGGCCTGGAAGGAAGAAAGGCCCACTAGAACATCGAGGGGAAAAAATGTTAACCCGATTGCAAGTATTTGTTGATTTCTGCTTTACAGAAAGTAAGTCAGCAACACAGAGAGTTGAGAATGTGGGGTGCGTGCGCATCAGACAAGTCCACATGTCTACACAGCAGAAGCCTTTGGAAGTGTGCTTTAGTGCGTCCTATTTGGTAAACACTATTAAACTGCTATCAAGCACACTTCAAGAGTAAAACAGGCCAAAACACACAAGAAAGCGCAAATATTCATTAGTAAATCAAAATGTAAGATTGCACGACCAAGGTTCGAAAAGTCGAAGAACACAAGTTTGCCGCTGATATTTTAATTGACTATTTGTCTCAGCTATCCCCAATGTAGCATTATACAAGGATTTGAAATGATTTTAGCGAAACATGAAAAGGGATGATAAAAAGAGATCTGAATCAATGATAGCCTACAGGCTAAAAACGAAGAAGTAGACGATGTCAGATGATAGTTAATGAAACGCTATACGGAAATAAGATGCCTTCTGCACAAAAACAAAAAAACTTAAGAAGCAACGTCGAAGAAGCAAGCCTAATAGTGTGCTGGCGGCATAGTCACACCTAAAAAGATGCTTTCACGTACTCTTCGAAAAAACGTATTAACACATTACAAACATGGCATAAAAAAGTCGATTCCTCAATTTACAGATATGAATTTACTAGGACCTTACAAGAACATGCGAACGTAGCTTGCAAAACAATCTTTAAAAATTCAAGAATTCATTGTTGGTGCGAATGCGCACGAGGAACATGCAAGTAAACATAAGGTAGCAGAAGTAAATTACGACTACAACATCCGAGTGCTTACGTTATGAACCAGCTTTCAAAATAGTATTATGACTCACTGAGTCATTTGACCGAAGCTATAATAGGCAGCATAGTCTCTGGTGTGTAATTATGCTAGTTAGACATGTTTAATTTTTTCCTTGAATGAGGCTTAATGACAAATATGACATTAACGCAAAAGGTGCGCTTTTTGAACAATGGCAGCAAAAAGGTTCAGATGCCTACCTTGTCAAATAGATAGGCACGACCTTGACTACCCTGAAATGCCTTACTGATAAGATCACAATGATCAGCTAGATGTGCGCGACAATGCACGCAACTATAAGTTACCAAAGAAACGGATGGATCGAGATAGACCTGGAACTGTCGAGTCATTTGACAGCTGTTAAAAACCTAATTCTGTAGATGGCGGTGTTAGGGAGGTCGGCTTAAACAATTAGCTTCAGCTAATTGAAATACGCGTAGCAATTATTTATATTCATAAAAGTACGCTTTAAAATGATTGTTTTTATTCTAATGACTTCTTAAAATAGCTATTGTGTTTTAGGTGCTTTTTTATGTTTCTCTGTTAGCTAATTGTGAGCTGTTTAATTAGCGGACTTAAAGTGCGTTGTTAATTTTTAGCGGTATATTTTTAGTTGAATTAATAGTTTTTAACTTTGTTATCTTTACGTTTAATGTACGCTGTTCTGGGAGTAGCGGGTCCATGCCAATCAACCTTGTTCTTATGGTTAGTTTTAATGCCAAATTTGGACTTTTATATGGGAAGGTATCTTTATTTTTCCTTACGAAGCAAATAATTTAGTTTCAATGACGGGTGTCAATACTTCTGTGATAAGATACGTCACCGAAATTATGCGAATGCTTTCAAGTTTAGTCCTGTCAGTACCTTAAATTCTCACTATGCGTCCAGATGTGTGACGCTTGTTAAAAAATTTTGGCTAACTTTGATTACTTTCCTGGACTAACTTCAGACCTACCTCTTATGAAAAATTTGGCGGCTTATAGAATTTAAAGGATTAATATTTTTTATTCTTTTAAAGACTATTATTTTCAGTTTTGCTACGTTTAAGTCTGTGCTAAAAGATTCTCGATTCCTGATGAGTCAAAATATACACAAGAAAACATTTTACGGAGTTTTAAGCCATTTCAGTGTGGCTACACTATGAAGCAGACCATTTACGCAACATATGTTGGTGTTTTATTCCTAGCAGTACATACGAATTTCGATATTGCTAAATACATTTACCACTTTGGATCACACTTGGAGCTGAAGATACTTGTTTCCTTCGAGATTGATTATTAGCCGATTTCCAGAGAAAGTAGACTAGAAATTTGCTTTGAATCGTATTCACGCATGCTGGTCTCTAAATTTTTTGGCGCAATACCCCTTTTTTACAGAGCTCCCACACTCTAGTCGTCCGTCAAATTGTACACCCATGTACCTGTCCCTCCTCTGCTACGATATTAACACATCTGGCCCTTTGGTTATTTGTGTTATCGCGAAATCACTCAAACTATCAGTCAACTCCATAAGTAATTAACAATGTTTTTATGCACAGTGGCGTAAACCCAACCACAACTTAATTAAGTCATCTAGTTAGCGGTTGTATTACCGTCATTTTGTTTTAGTCACCCTTTAGGTATCTGCGTTGCATAATATTTTCGGTACAATGAGGCACCTCTAATGTGGTTCAAAATTATATACTGGATTCTTCACAATGTATTTATGTAATATAATGCACAGTCCCAGATGCTCCATAAAACACAAATTTCAGTTTACGCGCATTACAATAAATGCGGTGAGACAGCCTGTGGGCTGTCCTCCATTTGCATGGGCTCAAATGGTTTTTCGACATTTTTCGTTATAGGTTGTAAATTTAACGGTTGGCTTGAATTTCTTGTGACTTGGTTTCCGTCCAATGCTTAATTACTCATATTCTTCGCACAAATCAATCCAATCATAGAGCCAATCGTACATGTGTGTGTATCATTTTCTATGTTACCAGAGTTACGAGGGAAATTGCAATGCAACCGAAGCGGTTGACATGGCTCAAATGAAGGCGTACAGAGTCTGGGCTTGTTATGCTACACGAAAAGTCAATTACTACTAGTTAAAAAGTCGTTCGTTTTAAGATCATAAGGAATGGAAGAAGTGGCAAGTCTTAAAAATATTTTAAACAAGATTCAAGCCTGGAACCATGCTGACTTAAGATTGCCAGAAATTGTGTAACCGTTAAAATGCTTCAAATGACTCTTTAAATCTTGACATTAGCTGTGTGATAAATGGAATGGAAGACAAGTTTTCTTTTTAGTTTTTGAGAATGCCGCTGTTGTGCGTTTTGAACTGCGGCAACCAACCAATCCGTGTTGATAAGATTCTAAAAAAAAAGACTTATTTTCACTAATGATAATTATATGTTTCACCGCTGTAGCCCTGGGTTAGTCCGTTAATCAAATTGGATCGCCTTTAGCCACAAGTCCAATCGCTCTGAGGGGTACAAGCATGTGACCCATTAAGGTAGATTAACACCATGAGGTTGGACAAATTGCTGATCACGACATTAGGAGGACAAGATTTCATTTCACTTCATAAATTTATATTTGGAATTCTTTAGTAAAAATGTCTTTTTACTTTCGCAAACAAAACAGCAGAAGTCATTCAGCTCTTTTTGTAAACCTGTTGTCAACGAACATTCTAGTTATTACGGCGGTATTTTAGGTCACTCGATCGATGCCCCCGTCAACAACGCCTACTTTCTTCCTAGAACACAAAAACTTCAGAGTTAAGCATACTACTGAATACTTTTTGACAACCAGAGCACTTAGCTACGGTGTGCTTCAGGTAGTTTACGGATATTCTTGACAGGCCGGACGGAATGTGAGCTCAATCGGATTTAAACTTGAACTACTTGATGTCCAGTTACAGGGACTACCTGTCACTCAGGCATGTGAAAACAGTCAATTTGTTAATTAACATTCCCGTGTAATTCTTTGCAAACTCGGCCATGTGACTGCTCCCACCCACTGAATCAGCCATGGCTACTTAATTTCTCTGTTTACAATTAAGTAGTAGTTTTATGTCAGCAGGGATTCCGACAAGCGCAGGCTGCTTAAAAGACACTAAACGGTCAAAATGCGGTCTCAGGTGTTGTGTTGTAAGATTGGGTGCTGTGCTTCTCTAAGCACTTGTTCAACGACCACGCAGATGACGCCCAAAACTAATTATCAACGTTGTTTATTTTTAAATATGGTTGAGCATGCCAAATGACATTACTTCTCTCTTCACTGAGTCCTCACGCGTTGACATCCACAAAAAAATAAATTTGCATTAATTAGGCATATTTTGAATTACGCGTCATTCTACAGGGTATTTCACAAGATGCCGCCTATTTCGTTTGTTTAAAACAGGTGAATCCATGTGTTTTTTGCATATTTCAGCTCATAGTGCACAACCTTTGTCGCAAAGGCGATATTTTATCTTTGAGAAGATAAGCGATCAATTCGAAGGACGCCATTGGGGTTTTGAGTGCCGGCCAACATTGTCCAACTCAGATTTATACCTTTCAAATTGCACCCAATGAGTTATGGGTACGTTGTTTAAAGAAACCTAAACTCATTTCTGGTTAAACTTAGGTAATCTTGTAATACAACGGAAGATAAAATTACACAAGATGGTGGAGCTAGAATTGGGTTGACCTGCAGGTGTCCATGGCCGACTGGTGTAGTGATTCGTGTGGGTTCACGTCAATTGATCTGGTTGCTGCAGTCTGCGACACACCGCCCGCTATCTGTTGGGCTCTACTGGCCATACTGTTATTTGTACGTTGTATTGTGAAATTTGGAGAACCTTTCATCAAGCCGGGGTCACCAATTGTTGTGGGCACCAGCATGCGATCTTGAACCACGCCGGGGCCACGGAATTAACCCTGGCCCGATTACACTTGCCTTATGCAGGAGATGAAGAAAAAGGCCGGAGAGGACGGACACAAGCGTTTACTTCAGAGGTCAACCACGTTTGTGTTGTGTCGTGGGTGGCATTTGTGCGTGTGTTTTTATACCTCAGATGTGTGTCATACATGCGCTAACATGGGGACCTAGGTGAGAGGATAATCCAAGATAAATGATCGTGCTAATGAGGAGGGGAGAATTGAGGATCCGCGCGGCTGGCCACATGTCGGAGGCTGGAGTGATCAGATTAGCGAGTGTAAATCAACCCGAGTCACAACAACTAGTTCACCCGCACTATTGATCAAAAACTAATTTAGGCATACAATACGGCGAGATCACGCACTCACTGGTGTCCGTGGCAGAGTGGTGTGGTAATCCGTTTGGATTTACGTCAATTAATCTGGTTGCTGCAGTCTTCGACACACCGTCCGCTGTCTATTGAGCTCTACTGACAACCCAGTTACTTCTACGTTAACTAGTTCACCCACATTACTTATCAATAGACCACATGAGACATGCACTACTGCGGGCTCACGCACTCACACAGCACACCTCGGTTGAACTGTGTAGTAGACGGTGGTGTCTACAACATCTCTGGTCCTCTACTTGTTTACTCGGGTTTCTGAGTGGCGTAACCGGGCCAAATTCAATACAGTGGCCTCGGCGTGGTTCAAGACAACACGCCGAGGTCTTCGATAGTGTAATTCCCTAAGACACAACTCCAAAAGACAACTTTGAAACACTCACCAGTTGACTATGGCGACCCAACGAAACAACGATTTCTTCCAAATTCAGTTTGCTTCTGAAGTGATGGAGCCATGTATTGTTGCAGCAAATGCCTTCCTAGTTGACCCGAATGTCGTAAAAGTGCATACCAAAAGGCATATTTTCCAAGTCAGCTCTTCACAATGGAAATTTTGTTTTTGGAAACAAAAGGCGTCAACTTCCGTACGGCTTTAATTGTGTCAGGTAAGAATCAAATCGTAAACAAACGCGAATTATTTTGATCCGAGTTAATTTGCTTGGAGCCTGGTGCAATTCAACTGTCATTCATCCTGAATCCCACCTTTTTTATCCCTCTCAGGAGCTCAGGTGTGTGACCTTGCAAATTTTATATTAGTTAATCCAATCCACCAAACGTGATTGACATTAGTCTCAGAGTTGACCAGTCTTATGCAATAAATTATCATTGTATTTCATATTGTGGGTAGCTTTCATTTTAAAAGTTTTCAGTAATTCTGGTTTTCAATTAGGAGAGCCTGGTCTGGGTAAATTTTTAGCATGTCTCGATGTCTACTGTCGTGTGCCAGATGTTAGGGGCGCAGAGTTATTGCGAAGCAAAATGTTTTATTTAAGCAATCAAATCCCCTTTTTCCAAATGCAGTAAATTTTGTCGGAATAACGACGGTAAAGCCTTTTGCTCT